TCTTTATGTGGATACATATATCACTCTTCTGCAACTCATGTGTGCACACAAAAACAAACAACCAGTGCAAGATCAGCAGTTCCTGCTGACCCACACAGGACACTCTGCCCCTGCAGCAAGTGGGACCTTTTTAACCCCAGACTCAGGGGTTTTACCAAGTTAGAGCAGTGTGTGCAGTGCCAGGGAGGTAGGCAGCCATCCCCAGTGCAGAACAGGAGCAGTGTGCCTCCATGCCACCCAGATGCCTGAAGGTCCAAGGACACTGATTTGACTTTGTTTGAGCTGGGTGTGCAGCCTGTTGGTTGTTACTTCTGCTGTGAACACAGGCTATCTTCCTGCTTGCCTCCTGAAAATGAGGTCTTTCGGGGGTTTATTTGTTTTTTTTCTCCTGAGGATGTGTTTGAGAGCTCTCACACCTGGATGGAAGTACAGACAGGTGGGGAGACCAGACCTGGTAACTTACTCTGGCTGACGAGGTGTTTCTTGCTCCTGAGAAACAAACAAACTGAGGAGATCCGATATAGAGATATTGCTCCAACGTGTCAGGGCCTGGGTGGTGGCAAGTCTGAGATTTGTGATAAAGCTGTGACCTAGCCTCAGTGATTTGCTGGGTTTTGTTTCCAGAGTTCAGGGTGCTTCAAAGTGCTCACATTACAGAGCTACTCCTGGCCTGCATTTTGCCAGGCGTGGAAAGAGAATTAATCTCCTTTTTCTGGTTTCTGCTCAGAGAAAAAGGAAAAACATACAAAACGTTCAGCTGCAGAGGGCCAATATATAAAAGTTGTGTACTGATAACGGAGACTGATACAAAGTGCATTTTGGATATTCTCCCTTCACACTTTTATTCCAAAATTGAATGTTGGCAAAAGAAAAACGATGTAACCAGCTGATGCTGGTTTGCATTTGTGTTTGTTCTCTGAGAAGCAAGGGGAAAGAGAGGCATTCCTTATTCTTATGCTGTTGCTCCCTCTTCTTGCTCATCACTTCTCTCCCCAGCTGGGGACCATGGCACACACACTCCTGTCCCTGACAGCACGTGGGGACAGGTGGCAGCCACAGCAAGCTCTGCCTCAGGTGACCCCTATACATATTATACCCCCTATATTTTAGGGGTGCCCTGGCTGCTGAGCTGCATGGCAGAGGTGCCCCTTTCCCTGGCTACAGCAGCACCTTGGTCTCTTCCCATCAAGCTCAAAGTGTCCTTCTGGTTTTATTTTCTTTACTTATTTTTGGTCCTGAGGTTTCCTTTCAGAATAGCTCCAGGGCGTGGAAATAGGACCGTGTGGCCTCAGCCCCGCAGCGCGCCCGGGCAGGAGAGGACCATTCTGCTCTGCAAAAATAATAACTAAATTGGGACTTAGGAGCCATGTCAGCCTGAGCCAGACAGGGACACTGTGACCCTGAGGTCCCCAGGGGCTCAGGCAAGTACACCCAAACCATACAGGGTACCCTGTCTGGGTGCAAGCTGCAGCTCAAAGCTGCAGACTCCACCTTCCACTAGACCACTTTGGTTAAAACCCCATCCCTTGGAGGCAGACAAACTGTTCCAATTTTTGTTTCCAGCAAGGTGAGACCATTTTCATAAAGCTTTCAAATCTACAATCACTTTTAGAAACAGATTCCTTTCAGAGAAAGGGGTGATCCCTCCAGGCCCTGCCACCTCAGAGAGATGGAGTTCTTGCAAAAGCATTATGAGACCAAGGCCAATGCTCCAAGCCTGCCTTGTGATGATTTTTAAAGCAATAATAAAAAATAAAATTTCAAATGGAAACGTTTTGGATGTGCTGGCTGAGTTCCCTGCTGGTCTCCAGCCATGGTGCCGGTGAGGTTGCTGCTGCTGGTGGCCTGCCCAGGCAGCACCCGCTCCAGGAGCTAAACATAGGTGCTGGCTACACAAGGCACTTGGGCACACGTTAATTATCCTGGTGCTTTTTAGGGATCTTGGGTGAAATATGTGTTTTTATAGTCAGTTTTCCATATTTTTTTTTAAGCAGCCCAGAGCAAAAGCCCTTTAATTACATTAAAAATCGCCTCCCACCAGGACTCTCTGTTCCCAAGCCCTGATGAAATTTTAAGCTCAAAGCTGGGCACATGCTCACTCCTTTCTTAGGCCAGCAGGGGACAATGGGAAGCAGAGCTAACTCTGCCCTGCATTACCCCCAGTAGGGCAGCCCCTCCAGCTGCTCCAGCCCCATGGAGATGGGAGGACAGGGGAATCCTCACAATGCTGATCTCTCTCTTAATCAGAGGCTGCTGCGTTGGCACCGAAAAACTGCATGGCTGGGGTTTTTTTATTTTTCCTTTTCTTTTTTTTTTTTTTTTTCTCTTTTTGTGTGTGGGTTTTCCTGGCACAAGGCGTCAGCTGAAAGCCACGGCCAACTCCAGGCCTCCCTTATAATTAGAACTCCTTATAATGCCACAAGGGGCTTTGAAGCCCATGGGGCAGCTGTGCCCTGCAGCTCCAGGAGTTGCATGGTGGGCATGTGGCATGGCCTGCTGCCAGGGCTGCTGGACCCTTGAGGGGCTATGGGGGGCTATGGGGGACCTGTCCCTCCCCAGAAACAATTTATGTTCATAGTGTTTCATCAGCAATTAACTCCCCATCACGTACCTGTCAATGCTGGGCTCCCCTGCATGTAGTGAGGCTCTTTGTGCCCCTCGTTTTGAGAAGAAACATTCAGGTCTTCCATGGCAAAGTGGATTTTTCTGTCCTAAATAACCATAGCTTTACCACTGATCAGTAAGCTAAGCTTATCATTACAGACTACCTGAAAGCATTTATTTTTCAGCACTTCTGTTCCCTCTCCTAAAGCTGTAGGGCTGAAAGGATCGAGTGGGATTTGCAGTTCTCCTTGCCACTGTGGGAAGCAAAGTTGCATTTGGTGAGGAGTCATTCCCTGAACTGCTGCAGCCCAGATGTGCAGGAGCCCAGGGGCCTTTGCTGAGCAGTGCAAGAAAAATCTGGGAAAGAGGGAGCAGAGGTGCACTGGAGAGCTGAGTGGCTGAAATCCAAGCAGGAAATGATAAATATAGGTAAAGGAGAAAAGATGTCCCTGCAGAGGTGGGTGCTGGGGGCAGCATCCGCTTGCTGTATCCTGCCACCAAAGTCCCCAGTGTGATTTGAGTGCACATGTGGGTGGGGTGTTTTCATTTCCCCTCACCCCCAGGCAGTTATTCTGCTTTGCTAGGGACATACACGGATTTCAGCTGAGCAATGCCTGATTTCTGAGAGCAGGGGACTGGGACCTTGTGTGGGTCTGTGTAGTTTGAAGGACATTAGAAATAAAGCAGGCATGCATTTTGTAGCAACGCTATGGAGGAAATGGCTCTCAAAGGGGGACTGGTGACACCTGTATCTGAGTTCCCGTTTCTTTCCCTGCCCTTACCAAGGCCTCTGCAGGCATCCTGGAGAGGAATTTGTTTGGATTTAGCTTTTTTTTTGGTCTAACAGCTCTGCCCAAGTGGCTGTGGAGCCGGGCCTTTGAGGTCAGTCTTTTTGTCTACTTGAAGAAAACAGCGACAGAATTTCCCAAAAAGGGAGGTGGACACCCCCCAGGAACAGATTTCCCAATATTTATTTTAATTAAAACCCAGAGTGTTATTATACCCTCGGCCTCCCAGCCGCTCATCTGAGGCCAGACCCTCAATTAAGCGGCGCAGTGCAAACCTCTCTGGGTTTGGCAGCGGCTCGGGGCGCTATGTTTGTGCACCAAATCTGCCAGCGTTGAAGTTTTGGAGGGTTTTTGGTGCATGCTGGAGGGCTGGCGTCACTCTGGGCAGGGCGGTGACTGGTTTGAAGGGGGGGCAAAGCCAGACCTTATATCCCAGCAGGGCTGGAGCAGGAGGAAATCTGTGCTGGCTGACTCCGTGGGTAGCTCTCGGTGCTGGGGCAGGGTAAGCTTGCTTGCTTTTCCCAGCTGGGCTGTGCATTGGTGTCTGCTTTTTGCAGGGAGATTGGAGGGCTCAGTTTGCTGGCAGGATGGGGCTTTAGTCCTTTCCTGGCTTTTAGTCCTTCCCTGGGTATGTGGCTTTGTGAAGCGCTTGGTGGAGGGGACGAGCATCCAGAGCCTTGCTGCGAGGTCAGGGAAGCTTGTGGCCACTTGTTTTCTAGCCTGAGTTAAGTAAAAACAGGGCAACTTCACACAGAGATAAATGTAATAACAATTCCTTACAAGCACAGCCGATACTGGGTTTAGGCAGGGGAAGGGTAGGAAAAAGGAAGGTTTGTGGGGCTGACTGAGCTCAGGGGGATGCCGGGAGCATTGCTCCCTGGGGGAAGGCTGGGGTGCTGCTGGAAGGATTGGGTGTGCTCCTTGCTCCTTGCTGGAGGAGAACAGGCTGTGTTTTGGTGCTTTGGGTGTGCAGCTCAGACCTGCCCAGAGCCAAGCCCCCTCCTGCTATGCCTGTGAGGGGCTCTTTGCATTTGTGCCTTGCCACTGCTGTTTTTGCCAATGGCAGGTTGAAGAAGCCAATTATTTCCATTATTTGTTTGCTTTTCCTCACTGAGGTTAAACTGTCTGTGGTGTAATTCCCAGGAGCACTGCTCCCTGGGCAGAGCACAAGCAGGTCTTGGAGCTATGGGAGGGCAGCCACAGTGGGCAGTGCTCCCAGTCACTCCTCTTGCAATCCAGTGGGGCTTGGCTTTCTCCCCTCCCTCAAAGGCAATGGGGAAGCAGGAATAAGTTGTCCTGCTCCAAGAAAGCTTTGAGTCCACTGCATGGTGAAACTGGCTTTTCTGGTATTTTGTGGTTTCTAGAAAAAACAAAATGTATTCATGGACGTTGAGGCAGATCTTAAAAAAAAGAAAAAAGAGAAAGAAAAGAAAGAATTGGGTCTACAGAGGGGTTGGTGACCCCACCAAGAAGTGGTTGGAGGTCAGCCTTTCTTCTCCCTACTCACCCATGTGGACACAGACATGTGGATGGTTTGGAGTGGTGCTGGTGCTTTCTTGCCGAAAAGCGAGCCCTCAACGTGTTTTGGTGTTCCTAGAGACAGCAGCCATGAGGAGTGTCCTGGTGTTGGTCTGCCTGCTGGGGATGGCATGCTCCTTCTCGGTGAGTGCCAGGCGAGGGGGGAGCACCCCAGGGCTGCTGTGGGGCTCACACCAACCCACCCTTTCCCCCAGGTCAAGAGCTGGCTGCGGAGACCCAAGTGGGACGACTCGGAAGAGAACGCGGTAGGGTCTCCCCCACCCCACGTGCCCAGTCCCACACGGGGGTGACCCTGAGGAAGAGCACATTTTGGTGGCTCCTGTACCCAAAACTGATGGGATTTTCCCCCCTCCTTCTCCTGGTAGGTTTTCAAGAACCGGCACCGGCATTACCTGTACAGGTACATCTACGTGTATCCCCCGCAGCGACGGTACCAGGTGGGTGTTTCCGAGGGCTGGCTGCTGCTTCCCTGCCCTCCAAATGCAGAGATTTTGGCCCAAATGAGATGGGGCACGGTCTGTGCCCTGTTGGCATGGCCTGTGGGCATGGGCACAGAACATTGTACTCCTGACACCGCTGGGAGCCCACCCACCCGCCTCCAACCTGGTTTTCCCTCCTCTTAGGGCAGTGACTCATCCGAGGAAGAGGGGGATGGCTCGGAGGAGGAGGAAGGAGGGGTGAGTATGGCAAACCAGCAGGCTGCAAAAACAAATACGGGAATTTGGGAGCTTTCTTTGGTTTGGTAGTCTCTGCTCATCAGCATTTGTGGTCACTGACCGCCCACAGACTTGCACTCTGGATACAACTGGATTTTCTACTCTGGGCCTTATTTTATTATTTTTTTGTCGATTTTTTCTTTTTGCTTTCCTTTTCTTCCTGGGTGAGGATTGCACCAAACAACCCTGAGACAAATTCTCTGGGTTTCCATTTCCAGTGGCTCAGAAAGGAGCAGGACAGGCCAAAAGACAGAAGCAGGGAGGTTCACACAAGGAAGAAGGTGCTGTTAGGAGCTCCTCTTACCTTCCTCTTTCAAGGTCTGTTGCCCCTATAGCACTCAGAAAATCTTTATGGAAAATCCAGTTATGCTCTGCATGTGTGTCTGTGGAGTGACAAAACTGATGCTATACTGGGAAAGTCAAATTTGTACCAGTTAGATGGTAAAGCTGTTCCTGTCTGCTGGATCAGTGTGAGCTTGGGCACCTCTGTAGTTGTGAGAGTCACACAGGTCCAAAATTAAATATAAGGGGTTATAAAGATCTTTTGTGCCTCATCAGGCTGCAAATGCTCAAAAATAATCCAGTGGTCTCAGGCACACAGGTGCTTTGAAATAAGGATCTGGTATGCTTAGAGACCTGTGTGTCATGCCTAATCAAGTCTTCAATTTTTTCCGTTTTTAAAAGTTATTTAATGAAAGCCAGGGAATCTGGTTTTGAACCCCGCTTTGGAGGCCTGTCAGGGCTTGAGATATAGTGGAGGGTGGCTCCTGTGCCAGCCCTGGCACCTCCCTGCAATTTGCCCCATTTTACCCGTTTCTCTCCCCTACCACTGCAATCTCTAGGGATAAAGTATCCCACTTTGAGTAATGGGATGGGCAACAAAAGGTGGAATTTCATTTCTCAGGAAGAAATTAAGTGGTATGCAGAAATGTAGCTGCTTTTTAGGTCTGCCTTTTTTGTTATGAGAGCACCAGAGCAGTGGCTGCTTCCATGTGGGGATGTGCCTTCACTGGCAGGGTGATCAGCAAGAGGAATGATGCTGAAAGTTTCCAAGGTCAGATATAAGTATGTAAAAAGCACTGTTATATTGGCTGCAAGATGGGGACCATCACTTGCACTGGCACAGCTGGCTGCACTGTGCAATTTGATGGCTCTCCTATTGGAGAGGAGAGCAGCCTGGATTTTCTCTGCCATCAGGTGCACCCGTATTTCAAAGTCTGAGGTGGCTCAAAATGCCAGGGTAGGTGTCCTTGGTTCTGGCCTTGGAGCAGCAGGGATTGCCCTGCCATGGCTGGGCTCATTTGCTGGTGGCAACAAGCTCCTCCTTCCAGGCTGGGCACTGGGTGAATTGCCCCACCAGTTCCTCAGGGGCTGCTTCAGGCTCTGTTTGCATTTGGGTTATCCTTACCTTTTTTTTAGCTGTACACCCCACTGAGAGCCCTGCTCTGCTGCTGATCTCCGGGGCCAAGTGTTGCCAATGACTGATTGCTGGTGGGGTTTGGGCTCACGCCTGGCTTTGAGCCATCACACTCTCACAGACCATCCACACATGACGTGCAGTGTGTCCACATGCACTGTGCCTGTGGCTTTCTTTGTTTACTGGAAACTGGGGGAGGTAACTTCAGAAGAAAACCTTTAGATGCTTTGCAAAGCAAAACGTGGAGCCAGGATGGGAACACCCAGATCCAGCCACCACCACTTAATTGCACAGCTCCAGCTGCCCTGCTGCAGCTTCTCCATTTCAGCCTGGAACAAGAGCCGTGGGAAAGCAGGGAACTCGGAGCAATGCCCAAATTCTATGTGTAGGTGCTCTGTACCCCTCTCACTGCTGGGAGGCCTGAGCTCCACTCCAGCTGCTGACCCCCTGCCCTGTCCTGTCCCTGTCCTTGTCCCTGCAGAAACCATTTTATGCTGGCACCAAGGCAGCTGGACACCCTGATGGAGCAGCCCCTGGGGACTGCCAGGATGCACTGGGAGGAGACATCACATCCCCCCAACAGGTGTGGTTTGGAGAGCTGGAGGGAGCACCCCTGGGGAGGGGGCTGTTCACTGCATGTTTGCTTGTATCCATGGGATGCCCTGAACCCTGTTTCTGCTTGGGGGGCTGCTTTGGAAATACCCATAGCTCTGGGCATTATTTTGAGGCTGGAAGGGGTATCTCAAAAAGACAATCCTGCCATGCAAGGGGTGGGGGAATGCTCAGTTGTGCCCATGCCTGCCCCTTTCCACATGGAGCTGCAGGCTCCTGACATCTGAGTAATGCTATGCTGTCTTCCCTCTGCTAGGGCAAGGACTGCCAAGGAACCCTGAAAGGAATCAGGCAGAGGATTGCCAGCAAGGGGGAAGACTCCGAAAATGAAGACAGCGATGAGAATGAGGAGGAAGAAGAGGAAGAGGAAGAAGAAGTAGATGAGAATGAGAATGGTGTCAATGGCACAAGCACCAATACCACAGAGGGTATTGGACCTCATGGCAATGGCACTGTGGTGGCTGAGGAGGGCACTGGTGAAGCTGAGGAAGAGGAGGAAGAGGAGGAGGAGGAAGAAGAAGAGGAAGAGGAGGAGGAAGAGGAGGAAACCGAAGCCACCACCATCGCAAGCACCACCAACGAAGAGGGTCTGACCCAGGCAACCACTATGGATGACGGGGGACCCACAGATGCCACCACAGATGCCACCACGGCTGGGGAGCTGTGGGAGTACGATGTGACAGCCAGGGACCACAGTCGTGGGGAGGAGGGCACCACCGAGGCGGGGTACGAGGAGCAGGACGAGTACGCACGTGGGGACAGCTACCGGGCCTACGAGGATGAGTACGGCTACTACAAAGGGCACGGATACGACGTGTATGGCCAGGATTACTACTACAACCAGTGAGCAGGGGGACAGCCCTGGTGCTGTCCCTGCCTGCCCCAGCCACTCAGGAAGCTGCATCCAAAGGCTCCCCGGAGCCACCGCACGCTGGAGGGGACGCCAGGCAGCTTGCCATGCGCACTGGCTCCATCCCAGGCTTTTTTTTTTTTTTTTTTTTTTTTTTTTTTTTTTTTTGTATCTTGCAAAGTGAAATGAAATAAAGCAACTGAACTGAGCTTGTTGGTGACAAAAGGTTTGCTGCCAAATTTTCTGGGGTTAGTGGGGCAGCACAGCGCTTGGTGAAGGGCTATGGTTGCCCATGGTGCTTAGGGCTGAATCTTGTTATTCCAGCTCAGATGCATATGAAAGGAGGGAGGAACAGCAAGGCTGACTTGGAAAGCCTCTGTAGAGTCCCCTCTGAAAAATGAAAGGGTGCTCTTAGGGACATTGCTGTGGGATTACAGCCACATTTTATGTGAAGTTGATGCAAATTTCTAATACGTGAGCAGTGATAACTTTACCACATCTTCCATTCCTTGCTAAAGTGCCTCCCATGGCCTGACCACACACCAGGCAATGTTAATAAGGGTAAAAACACTAATTTATTTTTCTGTGCATCACTAGTTGTAGATGCACACCCCTGTAATGAGGGTTTTGCTCCTTCATCCCTGCACCAAGCATGGGAGTACAAGACCAGGCAACTTGGATATGTGTCTTGAACGCCAGCACGGCAGCCCAAAATGTCCCTGTCACACAGCCTCATTCCCAGAGCAAGATAGGGCTGTCACAGTGACAGTGGTGCGTCCACTCCCCTCCTCCATCAGTGATGGGGATGCCTGGCTGGGAGTCCTCAGGATCCCTGGTCAGGGTCACTTCCCAACAGGAGTGTGTGCCTGGCCAACTGGTGATCTGCATTATGGATAAGGATAGAACAAATCCCACTGGTTTCCAGGCATGAATAGTGATGGCCCTCATGCACATTTTATGGCAGGTACCACGCTGCTCTTGTACTCCTAGGAAGGAAACCTGAGTTCAGCTCCTGATGCAGGTCCAACTGCAGAACTAGTCTATTCCTGCAGCAGCAAGCCACTGGCCATTGTACAAAACTTCTTCTGTATGCCAAAGCCAGGCTGCAGCTTTTGGGGAGGCAGAAGGTGTTGCCTTAGCGTGGGCACCCCTGGGGACAAACCCCTATGGCAGCACTGTGGAGCCCTGCCTGCACTCATGGCTGGTGCAGAGACATGAGAATTCCATGATCCACATCCCCAGGGGGTGCCCAGAGACGTCAGGGAGCTGGCATGGACAAAGAGCCCTGGCCGCTGCCAGGGGCAGGATCCCGCTCCCACAGGGCTTGTAGCCCAGTCCCATGTGCGTCAGCCCCCCAGGCACCTGGCAAAGGCTCTCCTCCACGAGCCAAGGCACATGGGCTGCCTGCCCTGGGGGGTGGCATCTGACTGCTGCTCCCTGGCCAGTGGGCAAGGGTCAGTTTCCTGTTAGCTCCAGGATTTGTTCCTGCTTGGGGCTGGATGCTGATGGTTTAAGCATTTCTGGTGATATTGCAGCAGTCATGTCAGCTCCCAGAGTTTGGGCTAGGGCAGAGTGGGGAGTGGGATGGGAGCTGCTGTCACCACCACCACAGTGAGTGCCTGAACCAGGCTGGCCATGACATGGGAACTCTTCTTGGCAAGGGTGTAGGGACCAGCAATGCCACCAAAAGTAGAGGTGAGGAGAAGGAGGGTTTGTGCATCATGCACACCCTTGTAATGCTTCTTCATAACGAAGCTGGGCTCAAAGGGACCTGTGCAAGCAGTGCATGGAAAAATATACATATTTTTTTCTTTTTTGCCACTCATCTATTTTGCACTTGCATGGGTTCAGCTCAGAAGAGTTGAGGCTAAAACCCAAAAAGCAAATGTCAGAAGACACAGCATGGTGGTGGCTCTCAGCTTGGCCAACACTGCCCTTCTGTGCCAAAGGGCCAGGACCAGGCCTGGCTCTGGATATTGCCCTTCCATTTCTGCAGGCCTGCCGACTTTCCCATGTTGGTCACAGGGAGCAAGCCAAGACCAACTGTGTACCCTCTTATCAATAACCAAGCTGGATGTGTGCCACACTAAGATCTACGCTAATCATCGAGCAATTTTGCCTTCAGAACAGATATTTATAAACTGTGCTTTCTGTTTATCCAGCCAGGTGGAACATTTGATAGCTGTCTTTTACCACAAACACATTTTTAGCTGGAAATTACTCCCCCTGGTTATCTGCGGGTGCTGCCAGAGCTGACAAATGTCCCTGGGCAGGAGCTGATTGGCTCTGCACACCCGGGGCCAACTTTAAATTTCAGCAAAGTGGGCACAGGCTCCACGGTCTGCCACTGGGACCTGCCTCCGACAGGAAAAGGTAATCTTCTTACCTAGCTTCCTGCCCTGTCTCTCCCTATCCCTTCAGCTCTGCTGTCCCTGAGCAAGGATTCTCCTGCTTTCACTCTGGGCAAGCCACAGTGGGGATGGGGACATCCTAGTCCTTGGCTGTGCACATCTCTTGAGCTTACATTGCTTTATACTGCTGATCCTTGTGCATGAATTTCCTTCTGGTATTTCCTGTAGCTATGCTGGTAAGGCTGGAAATTGTCTCTGGGATGGAGCTGCAAGCCCAAGCAAGGGTGGTTGGGTGAAATGAGAATTATTGGCCAACAGAGCCATTTATCAGTGCTGTGAAAGTCTGCTGCTTCCTTAATTAATTAAAAAAATCGGATTTATGAACAGCTTAGCTTTCAGCAGTTTTGGGGGATCATTTATTGCAAATATCCATCCGAGCTGCTTTGACAGAAGGAGTTAGGAAGTTTTAATAGCTGGCGTCAGAGCACCCACTCGGAGCTGCCGGCTGTGCCCTAAGCACATGGTGAGAGCATTGCCCTTGCTGCAAGGAATGCAGAGGCAGGAAAATGCCAAGGGCCACCACAAAGCCTGGGAAAAGCTGGGGACGCTAGAAAACTCCGCTGCCATGGGAGCTTTGGGATAGTGGGAGCTTTGGGATAGTGGGAGCTTTTAGATTGCTGCTAACCAGGATTATTGAGGATCACAAGTCCCAGGAAGACAAACTGCAGCAATGCTTCACTTTGCCTCCAGGAGCAGCCCAAGATGCAAACGTCCCTTGTCTGCCTGTGCCTGTGCCTGCTCAGCACAGCCCTCGCCACACCTGTGAGTATGGCTTTTCCTGGGTTCCCAGCATACTGCTGGAAGCATGAGATGTACTATCCCGTGATCCTGGCATGCTTTCAGCGGTGGGAAAACATGGGTTGTAGTTGCTTACACCACCTCTAGTACCTGGGGAGGGGATTAATGTGAACAGCAGAGGTGAGCCCAGAGGGAAAAATGTATATTAGCACTGAGGTGGCTGAGCATGTCCCTCCAGTTTAGCAATCAGGGCATTGCACAAGTGTCCATCTGGGTGGATGTACCTCTTCCCCTGGATTTCTGTGCATCTGGGATCTGCCCAGTGCTCTTGGCCTGTGAACAGCCTGAGCCAAGCCACAGGAAGGGAGGTGTGGGAAGGATGCTCATCTTACCCATGTGGGGAACAGCAGTCAGAGGGGCACCCGCAATTATTTTCCAGCTCTCTTAATGTTAAATTTTGAGGGATTTAACTAAAAACAAGGCAAACTAAGATAAATATAAAAGCAGCCATTTTTGTCCTGTATAACTGTTGCTCAGCTAGAGTGAAAATATGCTCCTCGAAAAGGTTTACTTTTTTGTCAGGGAAAGGAGAAGGGAAATCCTGTCTTCGCTGAGGGATGGGCCCCTCCCATGTGTCTTTTGCCCCCCCAGAGCAAGCTCTCGCAACCCATTCTGTAGCAGGGCAGCCCAGGGGAAGGCAATAAATCAGCACAGATTTGCTTTTCAGATAGGGGCACAGAAGAGAGTTAATACTATGCTGTGTAACCAGAGCTGTAATCCGGCCTTTGGTACTGTTCACAAACAATTAAACAACCTGGGAATATTCAATACTTTGGGGTGTGCTTCTGCGCCTTCAGCTAGGTTTGGGATGTTTCAGTGGCTAATTTTGCTGAAATCAAAGAAGACTCCCCTCCATGGGACTGTCTCTCACTCTGGCATGTAGGGAATGCCTGAAGTGGTTTTTCGGGGCTCACAGGATGCTCCCACCAGTAGGTCCCCCACCCCTGAGGGATGCACTAGACAATACCCACCAAAAGATGCCAGGATAATCAGGGAAAGCTGGAAGCCTGCAAGCATGTGCAGAAACCTGGCCGTGAGGACACAGAGGTTGCTGCTCAGTAGCTCAGTAAACTCTGGGAAACTCCACCAGTTAACCAGCTCTGGACTCCCATCACAGGCAGATCCAAGTAAGCTGGAGCATTCTTTTGTGAGCAATGGTGCTGTATATAAAAAATGCTCTGTGATAAAATCCTCTGCAGCAGTCTCCAGGAAAAGGTTATTTGCAGACCAACAATAGCCTATGAAAGTTAGCCTGCAATACAGTCTTGCTGTAGCAAAATTCACAATACTTTTCAGACGCTGGAAATGGGATTTTGACCTTTCCTACTACTGTTAACTTTAAATCAGCACCCCAAGTAGTACCTGGGAATTTATTGGCTTATCAATAGAGTTTTCCCACCCTGAACATTGGGCAGGCTGGGTGGCCAGAAGTGGGTACTGGCAGCTGCCTGGATGCTGGGGCAGTGTTTGATGCCTCAGCTCTTGCCTGTGTTTTGTTGCCTACAGGTGCCACCGCCACTCCCTGGGAGAGCTGTTGGGAACTGTGTGGGACAGCACCGGGTATGTATCCCTCTGCCACCTCCTGGGGCCTCAGTGGGTACTGTGCAGTGCCAGGCACAGGAAGGGAAACTCCTGCCAATGCAATTAATAAGGAAATTGTGGGCTGTGATTATTTTCTTCCCCACCAGATACTTCTGAAAGGCTGCAACGCCAAGCATGGCTTCTACATTTTCAAATATGTCTACTCATTCTCGACGCGGAGGAACCAGACGCAGATAAAGGTGAGGA